TAAGAATTCCTGGAGCTATGCCTCCATTCCTCCATACGGGTTCCTGGTACAGTGTATAATCTTAAGGTTGATTTCACATATTTTTTATACAACATTTTTAATGTAATAAGCACATAAATGTTTTTCACGTTTTTCAGTCTCCTAATGTGCGATTACAATATAAATTTGAAGTCAGAGTTGTAGGATGTAGTATACACATATCGCTGAAAACTACTGCTTGTAAAATCGGGACACAAAGAAGATCAGAGCTTCCTTGTCTTATTTTACATGCACTCACGACTTGACGTGATTTCCAAAACGTGCACTACTAGGAGTGATTATTATGTTAACGTAAAATTGTAATTACATGGTTTTTACTCTTTTTTGCAATTTTTCTGTTCACGTTTAATTTAATCATAGAATGATCAAGTCAAGGACGATGAGGTGGGCAGGGCATGTAGCACGAATGGGGGAGAAGAGGAATGCATATAGAATATTGGTGGGAAAGCAAGAAAGAAAGAGACCACTAGGAAGATAAAGCGTAGGTGGGTGGACAATATTAAAATGTATCTTAGGGATATAGGATGGGATTATATGGATTGGATTGATCTGGCTTAGGATATGGACCAGTGGAGGGCTCTTGCTAACATGGTAATGAACATTCGGGTTCCATAAAATATCGGTAAATTCTTCTCCTCAATAAGGGCTCAGCTCCATGAGTAAGTAAGTAGTAAAATAATACCAGCCGAAGGAAATATGAGATAGTCTCAAATCAATTTCACTATTATCCAAAAGTGCGACATTTCCTTGAACAATAATTCCATCACTCCATCAGTCTATCTCTCTACGTCTCTAAAGTCCTTTTGTTGGACATTGGCCACTTTCTGAGGTTCGTAATCCTGCACACAGTCGGCAGGACTCCTTAGACGGGGGATCAGCCCGTCGCAAGGCCCCTACCTACACACAGAAGAACACAAACACAGAATAAATGCACACAGACTTCCATGCCTCGAATGGGATTCGAACAAACGATCCTAGAGTTCGAACGAGCGAAGACCGTTCATGCCTTAGACGGCGCGGCCACTGAGATCGGCTGAATCATACGTGTAGTTAAGAGCCCCAAAATTAGCCGTCCAGTAAGTTTTGCGGATTAGACCAAACAGTGGCAGCCTTACCAAGTGCATCCAGTCTCAACTCATCACAAGACATTATATATATATGGATCTGTATACTTGTCAGGAAAAGAAAAATATTATGGTGCTTTCATTACAATCTTCATGTGTCTGATTCATTCCTTGCTATCGGTTCTTTGTTGTTCAGTTCATTCGCAATATACACAGTTTACCACCGTGTCCTTTTACTGATCGTAAAGAATCAACGCCATACTCTCCAATTCAATTTCTTTCTTATCCCTTTTATTATTACGATTCCATCTACATCTTGATTTTCCCAGTGGTCTCTCCCCTTCAACAATTCACTGTATATGAGTTCTAGTTCCTCACGAAACCATCATCCATATCATAAACTCTACCATGATTTGAAGCATGCAGAGCCCAAACAACTTGATGACAACGGTGAAAACATTTCATATGACATCCTGCCATTAACTTAAAGATATAAATATTGGTGCTATAGTCTAAAATACAAGAAAGCCTGCAGCGAAGTAATCAACGATACTCCGTTTCCTCAGAAAATACTGTAACATGTATAATCGTTGCTAGGGAACAGCTAAGTAAACATGTTACAACCAACGCGCATCCAACAATAGAAGGGCCTCCTTTTCTAAGTAACAGACAGTCAAACATATACCACAGCAACGAATGCGCAACAATAGGACGTCCTTTGCTATGCAATGCATTGGTGGACATTCCTGACAATAAAACATGATATCCATTGCTGAGCAATTGATGTGTTTTCTGTGGGTGTTCCGTGCTGATCCTATATCAGTTCAGCAGCCGTAAGCTTGAGGACTCGAGGATTCGTCAGGAAGACGTCGCTCAAGGCAGTTTAGTAGTTGATGTAATAATCTTGAGAGTGTTATAATTATTTCTGTGTCATAGATACAGCAATCGTGAAAGTGTAGTAACGAACTGTAGTTATGATGTGTGAAATTATCCAATAAATGGAGTTATCAAGTCCGGAACCCATTGTTTGCTTCCTCGTTACCAGGATACACGTCGCTATATGTAGTCCTCTGCTACTGAAATGTCACCACTCAATTAATACTTCAAGAATGTTGTTGTGAAGCATCTAAAAATATCAATGCCTCTTTACAGAACAAGTAAAATAGCTTGTTCTGTCGATTTATTCGGCAAAAATTCCTAACATCCTAGTTTCAATGTGGTGTGTTTTAGCACTACGCCCAAATTCCAGCAGGTACCATCTGTATCTGAAGACGCTCATCCTCCTTTCAGAACCCTCGTGTTAAAATACTAATGGAACAATACCGCTCTGTTANATGTAGTCCTCTGCTACTGAAATGTCACCACTCAATTAATGCTTCAAGAATATTTTTCTGAAGCATCTAAAAATATCGATGCCTGTTTACATAACAAGTAAAATAGCTTGTTCTGTCGATTTATTCGGCAAAAATTCCTAACATCCTAGTTTCAATGTGGTGTGTTTTAGCACTACGCCCAAATTCCAGCTTTTTCTGTTGGCTGTCCATAATTGCTTACACTGCAGGTACCATCTATATCTGAAGACGCTCATCCTCCTTTCAAAACCCTCGTGTTAAAATACTAATGGAATAATACCGCTCTGTTGTAATAATAATTCAACGTCTTCACGTCAGGTAAAAAGCAGAGGAAACACCCGATGATTTGGTGAAATGTTACGAAGACGTCTCCGTTCTCTTTGCGAGAGGCCTAAAGCGTCAAGACGTCAGAGTCTGAAAGGGGAGACAAGCGCCGAACCACGATTTGAACCTTCATATTGCTGTCTGATAGACGCAGAGAGACAGGCAGCCACGTTTTTCTTTTAAGACATTCTACGCAACACGAACGAAAATACATAGATCACGATAGTGTAGCAGCACAGGACAAAGCCGTTAATGTACAATATTAAAGTCACGATAATGTATCAACATAGGACCTTCCTGTTAATCTGAAGTACTGAAAGTCACGAAACGTCCGTTGCGAATTGTACAATTTTCATTTCAATATGTGCTTGGCATTCAATCAAACCTTTTGTCAGCTTCCTCTTATTGCTAGGTGCAATCAACGTAACGAAACGTTGCCGAGTTTACTATTTCGTGCTTCACTTTCGGGAAGCTATCGAGCGTCAAATCCGGAAAAGGGATATTTTATCCAGTAGGTTTCTGAGATTCCCAAGTTTCCTTCAGGTTATGTCATACAGTTACAGTTGTTGTGGCCTATGGCCAGTCACTGTACTTAATGACCTGTTGGGACACATACCTTGAAGACGAAATTAACAACACGATCCACATCTGTGTAACTTTGTAATATTAGTGGAACATTAGTTTAAATGTTCTAAAATCTCCCTCCAAGACTCGCAGAAATATCCGGAAGCACAAAACGCAAATTTAATATATTCACTGAGAACTTTTCGCCGCCACAATTATGTGGGCTCTTGGACCCACGGACCATACCAACCGTTACATTCATCGAGTGCGCCTTCTCACGCGGGGAAAATTGCCTGAGAGTGACGACCATTACTAGCATGTATCTGGGACCGGGAAGTCCCGAAGTGTACCTTCGCGGCATGGTGCTTAATTAAGCAAAGGGGTACTTTCTTCTTATTAGACCACACTAAAATAACAGTGCATTAATCCACAGCGGTCAGACCCATAGAGAAGTGTTTCCTGTTTGCCTCTACGCAAATAGCAATGTCCTCTCTTCTGACGAGCTATGTATCCGTTTTGCTTCTTACGTCATCATCTTCTTCTATTTCATCTGATTTTCTCGCCTCCATATTTTCTACGCTTTAGTAATCCGCACTTTCTTTAGTACTCCTTTGCAGTTGCATTCCCTTCCGATTAGGCTCATCGCTTTGCGTACTGCGCTGTTGGTCACCGCCCTCCCGGCGTGTCTCCCCACTCCTGTGTTCGTGTTGCCGACCGCAACATCCTTTCTGCTATTAGCTCTTATTTTATTATTTGAAGCTATATGAATATGTTGATTCTGAGACCGTGCCATAGCTCAGGTGGTTAGTTGCCGGCTTCCCACCGCCGCGGCCCGAGTTCGAGTCCGGGTCTGGTCATGTGGGATTTTTGGTCGACAAAGTGGCGCTGAGTAAAGCTTTCTCCGAGTACTTCGGTTGCCCCTCCCAATCTTTATTCTACCAATTGCTTCACAATCACAATTATCTATAATCTGAGGCTGGTACAATAGGCCAGTATCGGTCGCAGTATCAAATGGACTCAGTCTCACCCCACCAAGAATAATACTTACGTAATCAGGAAGCTGAGACCTTCTTGAGGAGCCGCCAATTCTGCAGCTACTCAAGAATTTCCCAGCATGTTATGGAACCCGAAGGTTCATTACCGTTCAAAAGAGCCCTCTAATTGTCCCTATTCTCAGCCAGATCAATCCAATCCATAGCATCCCATTCTAGCTCTCTAAGATCCATTTTAATATTGTCCACCAACCTAAACCTTGATCTTCCCAGTGGCCTCTTTCCTTCTGGCTTTCCAACCAATATCCTCTATGTCACCAAGAATAATACATAAAATAATAAGTTGATTCAAGGTCATGAAACAAAGTTAGACAAATGAATTCCTCAGTATTGGTTAGATTGGCAACACTGTTCACATTCACGATCTCGTAAGCACTGAATATTTGAAAGGAGGTGGCTGTGAGGAACTGGATGATATTTCAAAACTGGTGACCTTACACCCTTTTTGCATTCAAAGATTTGCCACAGGGAGAAATAGCCGATGAAGAGTAAGAAACTTTATATTTCTTTCTTCTCGTTCCCTGACGTCACTTGAAGAGACCGGTTTTGGGATGAACGCTTACATTATACCGTAGTGCAAAGCGCTAGTGTTCCCATACTGCTACGTACGTGTGCACTGTTGAGGGGTGAGAGGGGCCACCGCTCCGCTTGCTGTATCCGTCGAGCCGTGTCTTCCAGGTTATATGACAAACTCGTAGCATGCACAGGCGACTTCTGGTGAGTACCGTTAAAATTCTTTTAATTTTCATCCATTGGTAATTTGTAAAATATTTAAATAAACGTTCAATTGTACTAAAAATCCGGTTTAGCTCAGTGTAATGACTACGGTACGGTCTGTTTTGATTCGTAATGAGCACAGCAATGTTATCGTATTCAGAACGAAAATTATGTAAAATTACAGGTGTTATCTTGGCCATGTAGTTCTTTATATTCGCATGTAGAAACCCCAAAACAGTAGAACAGAGTTTCATAAAATTGTACAATGGGAATTTTTACTAAAATCTATCGACACTTTCAAATTTTTGTTCCAATTGAGAAAATACCGGACACTTGAAGAGAAGATTTCCACGCTTCCCTGCGCATGCCACGGCATAAGGAGTTTGTTAATTCTGCGGCATGAAGTGCTTCAAGACGTGCTTGGCTAACGAAAGTTTGACAAATAACCTAAGCTCTTACTGAGAAATTAATAATCGCGCAGCTAGTAAATAAATTCTTCATTTCTTTACGGGACCCGAAATTTCATCACCGTGTACACAATAGGCCACCATATGGCCTTATATTGAGTCAGTTGGCTCCCTTCATTTCATTGCTCTGGTTCAACTCTCACGTCTTGCTTAAGTCTTCCAAGTGACCTCTTGTCTTCGGTCTTTCCCACGAGAATTATACATTCATTTCTCATGTCCTTTGTGGATGTTACGCACCTAGCCCACCTCATTCTCCCAGATTCGATAATACTCTTAATTGGCCAAAAATGCAACTTTAAAGGCCCATTATAAAATTCTATTCAGCCTCCTGTCACTTCTCATTGATGTAGTTGTTATGAACGATAAGAATAATGAGGCGGTTAATAACCTAAGTTTTAAAGAAAATGCTCTTCAGGATAATTTAACACAAGACCTTGAAAACGAAAGAATGCTCCCCTACCTCTGGAGCTATATTAATTCCGGATTCATCTAATTTACAGTTAATATCCAAATCATAGAAGTAAACACAAGGAAAAATGAGTTCAAAAGTTTGTGACTATGGTACATTGGTACAAATATTATGGTTTTGGACATTGTCCATCTGCCCGTCTTTATCTAAAAATAGTCCTGTTTATTTTTCAAAACACAACGTTTCGGAGACTGGATTCTCTTTCCGTCTTCAGGTAAAACCTACTCATTTGGGCCCAAATATAAATAGGACGATGGATAATGTACACAATGTACATAATGTCACAATATTATTCGTAGAGGAGAAAATACTGAAAATATTTCTCGAGAATGACACTGTCCCGGAATGCTATTTGTAACATCGTTAGCATTTTTGTGGGCTACTTTATAACGCTGTCAGCATCTCAAACTCTGTAGGGTAGAATTTCAGGATGTGCGGTGCGTAATGAATTGGAAAAGATTTGGAAGGAACTGGTTGTGACATGGAGACCTTTGCTTGGAAAATAACCATGGAAAACCTCAGTAAGTATATTCGGTACCTCGGGAGAAATTTGAATCCATCATCCCCCCCTCCCCCCACAAAAATACAAGTCTAGAACGTTACCATTACACTAACCTGCTCAGTAATAGCTAATTGGTATTAATGTGAGCGCCGTTAAACACCTAAATCATGTATAGGCCATTGTGTCAGGACAGTAATCATTTNTTAGAAAAAGGAAACATGTAAATAACAAATATGAGTGTAAGATAAGATTTGAGGTTTTCGCGGCGGTGACCATGAAGAAAGCAGTCTCCTGGGATTTGGCACCGTGTATATGTGGTGTTAACCGACGTTTCGGAGGAACGTCGGTTAACACCATATATACACGGTGCCAAATCCCAGGAGACTGCTTTCTTCATGGTCACCGCCGCGAAAACCTCAAATCTTATCTTACACTCATATTTGTTATTTACATGTTTCCTTTTTCTAAATATTATTTGTTTCTCCGTCATTCTCCTACTCACAATAACAAATGCGGGATCCTTCGGCGGCCATGACACTTTCCTCGCGGCCCGATGCAACGCTTCAGATGATAACGACGTGTCAACGAAACATCTTCACGTGAAACACGTTTCAAATGATTGAGCTAACTGTCAGTTCAGAGGCAAAGATCCGGCTAACTACAGATTCAGTGTGTACTGAAATGAGGTCTGAACAGACCCGCCGCCAGCCTCAGGGACTGGGCGGCGTTGTTTCGAGGATTTGCGGACAAAGTGTAAATATTGGGTGCAAAATCCACTTTGGAGTCTCTTTCCCCAATAAAAATATCGGACGAACTGACCTAGGATGTCCATGTGACATCCTCGCAGCGGTGTCTATGAAGAGGTCTGTCTTCTGGGATATACTCGTAACACTGGACTATAACAGAGTTGTGTCCCAGAAGACAGACCTCTCAATTGTCTTAGGATTTAATTCTGACTCCATATTGGAAAGCTTATAACTTCTTGAGCTGATTGCATGACCGTATTTTCTAGTAAGGTCTATATAATAGTACTTACTCATAACCTCATAATCTTTCATGCGATGTGCCATGGTTTAGATCTCAAAACGGACTCGTGTTTGTGCAGTGAGTGTATTCTGGCGTCGACAAAAGATACATGAAAATGTTGTGTCGAGGAGCACACTTGCTAAGGAATCGTTGATAAATATCCATGGTCTACAGCGCTAAGAAAGAAGATTATGAAAACTGAACTCCGCAGCCATTAACACTCTGTAGTAATTCAGGGAACAAGTCCTCCGGGAGGGACTTTAAGCTGTGTGTCCCGTGTCGTAACTTTACGGCACGTAAAAGAACCTCATATCCCCAAAGGGGATCACTGAGCCAAATTCCAGGACGTTTCCCGCCCAACAATAGTCTCTAAGGCCTCCGATAGATGGGGGAAGCATTATAGACACCGCTAAGCAAGTGGCCGAACTCGCTTGCTCGGCGGGACTGATGGTACGCACCATTTATCGGTAGGGTAAAGAGACTGGTAGAATATCATAGAGGGAAGCACAATAGATCAAACTGGTCGCGGTGCATGGGGAAACCCACCCTCTCTAAATAACTAACTAACCACAGCCAGGAATTCCCAAGTTTATCCAATTTGAGATCACTACAGATGAAGAAATGCTGAACCGTAATTTATAATCCACAAAACGATATAATTTGTTGATGTGATATGTACCTCTTAAATTATTACGCTCTAAGTTATATTACAACTAAGTTGCAGCTACTGATGACACCTTCCTCAAGAATGAGATGTGACTATACATTGAAGCTAAACGTCAGCTTCCGAGATTAATAGAGATGGAAGAATTTTCTCCTATTATTATCAGTAAATAACGCAAACAAAATTCGGTGAGATTTGAGGCTTTCACGGCGGTGACTATGAAGAAAGCAGTCTTCTGGGATTTGGCACCGTGTATATGTGGTGTTAACCGACGTTTCGGAGGAACGTATCGCCTCCATCTTCAGGGTAGAAGAAAAAGTATAAGAAATCTGCAAGCGACAAGACCGTGAGAACGGTCTGCTTTTACCGTTCTCACGGTCTTGTCGCTTGCAGATTTCTTATACTTTTTCTTCTACCCTGAAGATGGAGGCGATACGTTCCTCCGAAACGTCGGTTAACACCACATATACACGGTGCCAAATCCCAGAAGACTGCTTTCTTCAAAATTCGGTGAAATGGAAGAAAGTCTGAGGACAAGAGTCCTGTGAGTTTTGAAGAAATGGGGTTTGATAGTGTGGTCTGGATTCATCTGGCTCAGGGTATAGACAATTTGCGGACTCTTGTAAAGAGTGTAAAGAATTTCAATTTTCATATATAAACAACGTAGAAGTTCCTTAATAGGTGAAATACTATTAGATAATCCAGAAGTAAAATTTTCTATGAAATTAACTGCTTATTTGAATGATTTTATCTTAATGAACTATTCCAGTATTCACCCAGAGTGCTTCACGATGTACGGCAAAACTATACCTGCAACAGGCCGTGGAGGCTCACAGGATTGTGAGACGTCAAGACACTCGGCTCAGACATGGCAGTGTGGCTGTCAGCCTTACGCGCCGACTGCCCTCTACCCCCAAGGAAGATTTTTGTTACTCATTTTTGTTAGAGGCTGAGTCGATCCCAAGGCCATAATGCGGGTGGATTAGGTCAATTGAAAAATTTAGTGACCTCATCGCGAATCGCACCCGCGAACTTCCGGCTTGTAGCACAGTGCCTCAACCAAATACGCTACCTCATAAGTGAGCTTATTAATTAATCATCCCATCACTGAGCCACGCATAGTCATTCAGTTTCATAAAGAGGACGCTAGGAGAGGAAGGTAACAGTAGAATCATTATAACGAATATGATACTTGACGATACGGCCTTCCGAAACGTCGGTTAACACAACTTCTACAAGGCGCCACATCCCAGAAGACTGCTTTCTTCATAGTCACCGCCGTGAAAACCTCAAATCTTACATAGATACTTGACAGTATTTTTCTTGAATGTAACACAAGTGATTCTATATTTGTCCAAAATCTAGCGATTCCTACCTAATGTGAAAGACGAAACGTCGTAGGATGATCAAAAGAGTAATAGGCCGAAGAGCATGATATATGTAAGAAAAGGGACAAGTTGTATAATGTATCATGCCTGGAATCCAAAGAAGAATTTGTTTCATCCGTGGAGTAGAACAACTCCACTGACATTTTCAAAATACATTAAATCTTACTTGCGTAATTCGTGTAGAAAATATTCACGGTTCACTACCTTCGGGAATTCCGTTGTGTTCTCTTAAACTTTATACAAGAGCTACATTATTAAGAAACACATTTCGCCACATTCCTTATGTAATATGGAGTCCTGTCTATATATAGAAGCTCTATTCATCCATCAGTAACTTCGACAGTAACTGGCTAGACCTCATAAACGAAGAAAACAGTTCTTCGACTGATTTTTTTTTCCTGTGGCTCTACAGCCCCAATTTGGGCCTAGGCCGACCTCCATGAAACTCTCCGTTTCGCTTCGGTTTACTAGATCTTACACATTC